GAAGTTTGTAAAAAAATGAATCCGCCTCAACAATATAGAACTTAATTGCAAAACCTCACAGGTTCCATTAGTGTGGATTTTCCTTGAAGTGAATTAGTTACGATTTTTTCGAATATAACTGTAGCTGTAACTGTAGCTGTTGGGGTATTTCGTAACATGTCAATCAAAATTTCGAGCAAAGAAAAATGAGAAATTAGAACCGTTAAGGACTTGTTCAGTTTCCCGATAGAAGAGTTAATTTTGGGTTTACCCCAAACGGTTAAATTATAATTGACTTCCTTCACAAATCGAGTAGAAACTATTTATAATAATCTCAAAACTCGTTTCGACAATCCCGGTGCTTAAAACTCAATTTATTGGAATGTTTTTAATAGGATTTCTTTTTTTAAACCACATCTGCACATTTTAAAAAAATAAAAAAGAGTATGTTTCAATATTGTTTGATCCTAACAAAAATTATAAGGAAAACTTGCAAAACTAGTCGTTTTTCCAATCGTATTCTTCGGCCAGTTTTCAGGAGAGGTAAAGCGAAAAGTGGAACCCCACTAGGGATGGTCGGTATTTAGCGTAACCGCTGAAATAACAGTGTTCCAAACGTGTAACCTGAAACCGTAGTTACAGCTAGCCGATTTAACCGGTTTTTTTTTGGAGCCGTCTCATAAAACCGAAACAGTTATGCAGACAACCGTCTTATAAACCTGAAAAAGTGGTTTGCGTCAGCACAGAGCACAGCTGCAAAGAGTTGCAGCAGTTTCAGTAACCATTTGTCAACGGAAAATATGTTGTATGTAGTTGCGCCTTGATGATTGTGTATCACTTTTCGTTTATAAAAATTACTGTTCAGTTCTCCAGGAACCATAGTCGTTCAGATCAGCAAAAATTTGTTAACTTCGGCGATGATACAATTCAGCATTTTTAGTCTATAAGTATTTAGTTTTCTGACACTCTGTAATAAATCTTAAAAAAAAGGGATTTCTTTCAAGAAACTTAGCTCGGTAGTTATATGCCCTATATGTAGTTATATTATATAGTTATATCATCACTATTTCTACTATTATCATCATTCTGCATTTTTAATGGAAAATTTAAAAAGTACCTATTACCAAGTGAAACCTATTACCAAGGTGAACTGGAACGTTGTAACCCGTTATAGAAAAATAACCGTTTATCACACCTAAACCCCGCAAAATATGTGCGATTCTCAACAGATTTTGTTCACTTTACTAAATAATATTTGATGAATTTAAAAAAACCATCTGTGTAAATTTTAACAAAATGAAAATGAGCCTTATTTCATCGACAGAAAATAATTTTTAAATATTTTTGTGGCCAAATTTATTGGTGTCAGTATCCATTCAAATCGAAATCTGTACATTTAAGGACAATATGGCAGGTATTTAAAAAAAAATTGATCCTAAAGAAATATAAAAAAAGATGCAAAAGTAGTCGTTTTCCAAATCATCTTCGTCGGTTAGTTTTCAGGAAAGATAAAGCGAAAAGTGGACCCTCATGACATCTGTGCGTTTCTCAACAGATTTTACATTTAAACAGAGTTTATCAAAAATATCTTGTATATTTATAAAGCTTAACAAAATGAAAAGTCAATTGTTAGTTTATTGTCGAGCTTGAGTCGCTTATTTCATCGACTGAAAACATTTTTCACCTTTCTGCGGCCTTATAACAAAATCTTGAACATCCTTTCTGTAGCATGTCGTTGTTATTGTTCTTTACTTTTGTTACTTATTCTGTTCTCCGTTAAAAATGCCCAAATCTGTACATTTGAGGAAAAATCACGAGTATTTTTCAATGTTGTTTGATCCCAAAAAAATTTTAAGGAAAAATTGTTTTAGTTGAAAAAGATAAAGCGAAACGTAGAACCTCTTGAAATCGGTGCGCTTTTCAACAGATATATGAAAATAAAAGAAATAATTGTTACTTTATTGTCGATCTGCAATCGCTTACTTCATGGACTGAAAATAATTTCTTCACCTTTCTGTGGGCTCATGCAAAATCC